CGACCCCCAAATAATATAAACCTCACAGCTCGGCATATCCCACAAGGGAACGTAGCTAGAGGTGTAGCCCATCACGGGGAAGTCAGCAGCCCCAGAAGGTGGAGGCCGCAAGCTACTCCGTGACATATGGTGGAGGCGCCTTGTCTCGAGTCCCCAAGGTTTCATTCTTCATAATGGACCTGATAATAAGTCGGTAGGTAATTCAGAAATAGGTCAACTGTAGTTTCTCATATTTTATTTTTTTTTTTCATCTTTCTTCTCAATATTTTTGAAAAATATAAAGAAATTGTATTATCAAATGTTTAGGGAATATAGGTGATATAAAAAACAAGAATAGGAAAAAGCGTGCTTGTGCTGTCAATGACGGGTTACCTATTCAACTCCCTAGTTTGTTAATAGTCAACAAATGTCATAACACATAAACAAGCTGTTTTTTCGTACCTTCTTTTTTATATACGGGTAGTGTAAAAAGAGAGGAGAAATATGTGCTTGTGCGGTATATGACGGGTTGTCTATTCAACTCACAAAATAGAGTTAATATACAACAAATGTCAGAACTCATCATCAGGCTGATTTTTCGTCTACTTTGAGCATCAACCACGCCTATTGATGACAAAAGAGTACCTGTCTGATAAACGGCTGGCTCACTATTCAACCCCTGAGTATGAGTTAATAGTTAGAAAGTGCCTGTGCTGATATAGGGCTGGCTTGTCACTTCATTTTATTTTGTTCTTCTTTCTTTTGCATCTAAACAATAGTAGGTACTCAAATTTAATCAAAGTCTCTTATTATCAATGTCATGCCACGAAAAAACCCAGGAAAGCGTCAGCGAATGTTAGCTAAAAGATACAAAGCATCTATAGCAAATGAACAGGCACAAAAACACCCCCTATGGTAAAAAATTTAGTGGTAAAAATACCATTAACGTTACTTATCGAGAGTACGAGAAAATATCTGACTTTTGAGGAGAGAATGCAGATAAAATTCAGAGAACTTTTTGGAGAGGAATAATGAGTATGAAGTTTTGATAATTTTTCCAATTTTTTGTTGTTGTTGGTTAATCACCCCTGGATAACAGAATATTGTATATACAGACTATTTGAGAATTTTATTCAACTTGAATTAACCCATGGTAACTGTATTATATCCCGAGTGGATGAATCGAAAACTAATTTTTGATATATCTAACGTTACTCACCCTAATGTAACCTACCCTAACGTAACCCAGTCTACCAGAAATGAAATACAGGAACTTAGCAAAGTATTGTTTGTCTTATAGAAAATTGTACAAAGAGGAATTTCTGAATAATGTTAAATATATATTTCTTTCACAGTCCAGGGAACAAGTAAGCAGAAAAACTACCACTAGTACCATCCGGCACTCACCACCTCTCATTGATATTCAGAACAATAACAAACCTTTCTCTTACAAAAATTTGTATAGGGACGAGTGTCTCGAAAGTTTGAAAAGCGCCTTGTCCCAAATTGAAAATTCTTGTAGATCACGGTCAAATGAAAATATCAACATTTCATTAACCACCCCGCACGTAGAAGACCTGATTTCCTTCGAAGATGACGAATTGCCTGTCATCCCGTCCATTGAGACAGACCTAATTTCTTTCGAGGACGATGGGTTAGTTTCACCACCATCCGAGCTTAGTGACGAAAAAACCACTGAGGAAAATGAATTAGATTCGGCCTCAAATTATCTTTCGGAGGGATCCGAAGAATCAAAATTCACACAAAACGATTCTAATCTGGTTTTGGCGTCTACTGAGCAGGCCTTGACACAGGGCACCTTGGTTGGAATGAGTCCTAGGAGAATCGGAGAGTTCAACACAGGGGATGAGGTAATGGTGGTGTACTTGAGGGGTAAAAGACAAACAAATGTCAAGTGGTTAGGGCCGTATTATATATCAAGGAAAATCGACGATGAAGATTTCGAGATAAATCTGGGACCCATGGGAAATGGTAAAACTGACGTGGTGCATCATAGTAGGATACTACCCTACAACCACCCATGTGCTCCAACCTTTTTGTATTCGAATGAGGAGAAAGACGGAGAATAAGTCTGTTTTTCCCAGCTCCTCCTCACTTTGAGTCACTCGCCATATCATTATCACCCTGTATATATAAATATTAATTTTTTTTCTCTCAATTTTTTTGTTTCTCCTCGCAATGTCACTTCATGAAAAACTATATCAGATTACTAGAGTAATATATTTTCATTCAGAAAAATTTGACTTCATTTCATTAGATCTAGATATTTTTATTCAAATCAGGAGAGAATTTCAAAAATCAATATTTCTTGTTTATAATATTTTTGTTCGAGTACTACATTTCAAGTTTCGATTCATCAGCGATGTCAACAATGCTTAAATCTTATTCTGAATAGCAACGAAAATATTACATGTTCATTTCTGCAATTTAGTCAACGCGACCGAAGTTCAATCCACACGCTGCTATAGATGGGTCACACAGCTGATGATATCACCATATATTATTGTAGGTAAGATCATATTTCACGAAGGTCACTAGCACAAGACAACTCGATAAAAACAATGCGCGGAGATCTTGCATAGGACGGCTGGACATTTAAAACTTATTCAATTTAGCATGAACTGCATATGGTTTTAGTATACAGGGTGACTCCAAATTTCGAATACAAAACTGAGGCATAGAGACATCGTTTTCCTGGTGTAATTTTTGTTTCATTAAAGTTCTATATAAGTTCTTCCTGATAATTTGATTTTTATTTATTCGTTAATTTTTTAATTTTTCGTTGAAATAATAGATTTCGAGTGATAGCAAATGAATTACAAAAGCCTTGAAGTTTCGTCTATTCTCGAATTGAGAAAAGACAATTTTGAGAGGAAATTTCTTGATTTCAAGAATTGTTTTAGTATTTTTCTTTTTGAAAGAGTGACTTTAACGTCATTAACTGGACTCTAGGTATGCAGAAGGTTAGGAAGAGGTGAGATATTTGTGTTTTTCAGTTATATCTACAGAATGTTCGTTATTAACACATAGAAGAGTAATTTGTTTGAGAATTTTATGTATTAAGGAAATTGGTACCTTGGTATAGTGAAGCAAGTTGTTGAATTTGAATTGAATGATGAGAGAATGGAATTGAGAATATAAGATAGAGAGAAATAATTGATGAATGCTGAATTGAAGATGATTGATGGTATAGTGAAGATTGATAATGATGAATTTGAAGATGATTTATGAGATATTGAAGATGATAATGGTATATTGAGGATGATTAATAGTGTATTGAAGATTATGAAAGATATTGTTGAATTTTGATGAATTGATACGAAATTAATTTTATTATGATTTACTTATGAGTTTAGTAGTGATTACTAAACAATTCGGCTAGGGAAGTTTGGCAGATGCTTTGTCAAGTACAAAAGTGAAAATTCACCCTTCGGCCAAGACGTAACATGTGAGTTATGTACTATAATATGTATTTTGAGAGATTTATAAATGAATTTTAGTTATGAGATGAATTGAGGTATATTGTGATATGAGTTTAGTAATGATTACTAAACAGTTCGGCTAGGGAAGTTTGGCAGATGCTTTGTCAAGTACAAAAGTGAAAATTCACCCTTCGGCCAAGACATAACACGTAAGTTATGTGCTATGTTATGAAAAGGAGATATTATTTTGAGTGATATACATATGGATTTTAGTGTTGAGATAATCGAGATATATTTTACTATGAGTTTAGTAATGATTACTAAACAGTTCGGCAGAGGGAAGTATGGAGGAAACCTGCAATATTGGTGAATACTACCCTTAGGGCCAATTCGTGGCACATAAGTGTCATGCAATGCGTGTTGCAATCAAGTTATTGCAAGAGGATGCAATGTAATGAGTGAATGGAAGTAATCAAATTGTTTCAGATATCTAGAAGATATAATTCAATATTCGTCGTTGGTATTAGCCAGGAAAGTAGTTGTTTTCTTATAGATATCTCTACAATTTGATCGAATGAAAGCGAGGTACCAATTTGAAATTTCAAGTGCATCATTACGATATGATATGACAATAATATGTGTTAAGAGCAAAATGTTAAGTTTTCATAATCCACTAGTTGTTTTTTTTTCAGTGAAAACCACTCTGCTTACCTACCGATTCAGAGAAGATATTTTTTTTTCAGTGTAATAGTTCTTAATCAATTTAATTTTCGAAAAATCTCCGAGTTCTGAAGAAGGATCCTGAAAAACCATCGAAATTTCACTTTGTAAAGTTGAAAACATTTTTTTGTGTTTTTTCGGTTGTTGTTGGTATTCGTTGGTTTTATCATTGTTTTAATCCTGGGAAATGACCCCCACTCTCCCGAATTTTTGTTGTTGTGATTTGTCGAGAAGGATTTCCAGAATAAAATTGAGAATCAAGACGGAGAGTGGTGGGAACCTAAGCAACGCGAAACTAGATCTTGAAAGAGGTTATTCCAAACAAATATTCTTGTTCTATATGTATATATTTTTGTGATAGGGTAAACAGGGCAAAGGAAACAGACATTTAGGAATAGGGACAAACGAAAATATAGAAAGAGCCTGCCATTTATGGAGCTATACATATTAATTAGAAATAGGAAAAAATTTATTGGGAATATAAAAAGGGCCTGCTATTCATACATATATATGTAGTAGGAATAGTAAAAAATCATATTTTGGTTAGGGAAAGAGTGGAAGAATTGGGAATCAGTAACTTGTTTTGGTTTATATATAATTTTTCTTAATATCAGGATGTAAAATAAACACTTACTGCGGCATGTCTCTTTGTTTCATGTGAGAGGAGACTACACACGGAAAATGGGAAGGCACTGGTACCCGGCTGACATGGCAGGACCCCACGAGGCAAAACGGCTGATGGAGGAGGCGAAAACTCTGAAGGCTGACACCTTTGACATACCAGGAGACCTAAGAACATAATGGTTAGAAATTGATGAAGATGACAATAAGGGGTGAGGTTTTTGGATGCCATTTCAGAATAAGGACACCAGAAATGTGAAGATAGGATCCTCAAAGTACTTACCAAGAGTGGCTTTGAAGCTGTTCACGAGAATCGAGTCGGAACACAGCAACAGGGGGTTGTGCGTTCACCACCATCCACCGTCGAAGCAAACCGCAAACAGGGTGAAGCAGATACTCGCAGGAACGTTCCACAGAGGCCACACATACGAGTTGCATGAGGAAGCTATAGTCAACTATATCTAACCTAGAGAATGGAAATAGATATCATGAGACAGAGCCATGAGGTAACAGTTTGGCTTACCAAGCAACACTCCCAGGATAGAGACTGGAACACATGGAAAACCTTTGAGAAACACCACAAACACCCTGTATCTGGAAATTACCCATGAAAAACCAACAAACAAGAACCAATATCCCCGAACGAAAACAGTCAATTTCGTAAGCGTCATTTTTTCGAACAAAGAAAAGTGAAATGCACTTACTCATCAAAAATTTCATAAGCCTTGAACGTTGCAAACGGCATTTGATACGATACGAGGAATGCTGAAACCACAATTTGTTCTTACCGGTAAAACAGAGGTATGAACTTGGAACCCAATGGCAGTAGCTGCGAATTTCACGATGGGCACCGACGGTACACGAAGCTACGACAGAACCCAAAAACAAGACCAAGCAAAGAACCAGATGACGGGAATAACCGAGCCAGGAGAATCCCTCCACCACCTCAGGATTAGTATGTATGTCAAAGGGAAGTCTACCAAAACAGAGTAAAAGACCACCCGCGAACCATCAGTTCTACCAACCTTGCCTTTATAGGACAGGCAGCGGCCTCTAGGCGCAGCGAAGGAAAGCAGATGCGAGGCGGCCGATATTGAAGAATTCTGCACGCGCGCTAGTGTCTCAGCGTTGCGAATCACCTATGGACAGTGCCGGACTTTCAGATCCTGACCGTGTGTAGAACTCGAAAAGACTAGAAGTGATATGCATCGAAATGTTAATTGCCGTTTTTGCTTGTTTTAATTTTACATGTTCGTCTTTTATTTTTATGTTATTTTATTTTTGTTGTTGTTGTTGCACTAGACTACACGTATGGTAGGAAAACTCTCTACTGCTACCTTGATATATTAGATAATATATTCATAGGGGTATGAGGGGTAGTTTGAAACGCTGGGGGCCAGCGTTCAGATGACCCGGGAACGTGTCACGGATGGGACCACTCAGTATATATCAGAGTCAATACACCTTCAGATCCAGGTCATTTCAAATAATCAAACAATTAAATTTAAATTCACTTCAAATAATTCGATGGCGTCGACAAAAATCGAACGGTTTGGCAAAACATTAAAATGAGCGTTGAACTCAGGAGTTTCACGACCTGGCACCAATTTAGGTAGTTTTGAGAAGTTTTAGCAAAAAAAGCAAACCGTTCGCAAATAAATACGGACCACACTGTGGCCGGCATGATCATTATTATTGGTGATTCCGAATTCGGTCGACATTCAGCCTAGAGGCATTCAAAATTCAGTCTAGACAAAAGTTCAAATTCAAAATTGAGTGATTGAGTGGCGTTGGTGTCGAGATTGACGAGATGGCCCATCCAGGACACATCATCCCCCCGGCGAGAGTACTGGCAGTACTGGTAGCAATGTAAGTACCTCGATCATTTGTTTCCAATATTAGTTGGCCCCATAGTTAGGGAAAATAGGGATCAGTACTCACTTTGAACGCTGTTAATCTCGTGCTAGGCCCTTCCGGCAACTTTAAGTAATCCAGGGATGAAGTTAGGTAATGTACTAATGAAGGGGCGTGTCGCACGTTACCCTGGTAGGGATTAATGTTAGTAAATTACCTTCGAAGCACTTTGTTTTGCTCATGATTGATTTTTTGTTATAATTTTTCACACTTATTGACTCACTTCACTTTAACCACATTTGTTTAATTTGCTGATTCCTTATACACGTACACTCGTTTTGATTTGATTTTGTTCCACTTTGTACACATATAACTTTTTTCTTTATTTAATTAAATTGTATTTTTTTCTTTATTCACACTCTCGTAATTTCTTTGCTGCAACTCCTCTTTGGTCAGATCACCTCTCGCATTGCCACTACGACCCCCAAATAATATAAACCTCACAGCTCGGCATATCCCACGAGGGAACGTAGCTAGAGGTGTAGCCCATCACGGGGAAGTCAGCAGCCCCAGAAGGTGGAGGCCGCAAGCTACTCCGTGACAATATTCCAAGAAACATCTGGAGATTGGGAAAGGTACAAAAAGTGTTTCCAGGACCAGATGGAAAGATGAGAGTCGCAGAAATAAAAACAAGCACTTCTACTTTCCGAAGACCCACTAGTAAGTTGTGTCGTATACAAGAGACTAGTGAAGAAGAAGACCTTCCTTCACCGCGGGGAGAAATGTGACGGCATATTAATATCAATGTTTATGTACACATTGTATATGGAAATTTTCATTATTATTGTCAATGTGGCAGAGTCAGTCACAATTTTGAAAAGGAATAAAGACTTTCTGTTTGAATCTGAAATATTTGATTATCTGTAACAGCGACCTTTCACTTTTCTATCGATACTTCCACGGGAAATGTTCTTCGGAAATCTCTGCTATCATCCCTTCACTAGCAATACCAATCAGACGAACTAGGCAAGCCCAGTCAGCACATCCTTTCGTTGTCAACCTCGAAAGATGTCGAACAGCACTTTATGGAATTCATTGCCTGTGGAAGTATTCCCAACAACATATAATCTCCAAAAGTTCAAAAAAAATTCCAATACCTACCTCCTGTCCCTATCCTCCCTAGGAACGCACGATGTTCTTTGAACATTATAGGGATTCCCTTTCGTGCGCTCCAAGCGATAAAAAAAAGGTGAAATTAAACGCACAGTACAGAAGATCTGTGTATTGCCAGTTGAATGAAAGGGAACGGACAATAAGAAATAGTGATGAACAATCGTCAACATAGACTTTTTATGTAACCAGTGTTGAAAGCACTACTCTCAAGGCGGGCGGCATCTTTAGGACTGATTGTTACAAGTGCACGCGGGGGTTGGTAGAACTGCACACGACGAATTGACAATGTGCATTTTGACAGTGACTTTGGTCCTGTGTTTTGATGTTGACATTTTTCGTGTTTTCATCTGTCTGTCAAAAACTATTTTATGTTTCATATTTTTTTTTATGTTCTGTACCTCTTAAGAGAACAATGAATGCGTAAGGCTTGTTCAATAAAAATGTTGAAATGTTTTGAAATAAAAGTAAAACGAAAAAGTATACAGTCCATTTTATAACGAAGTGAAGACCAGCTCAACACCGAGTACAACGTTAGTTTTGGTGTATCATGTGGTTGTCGTCGCTTCAAGGGAGTCATCAAGGGAGAAAATGGAGCATTGTGAAAGAAGGCAATAAAGGAGGAATAAGGATCACCTTTGAAGAATCACCCACGTGAAAAGGAGCTGATTTACCACCAAAAGAGAATACTCTAGATGCAAAGTGAGTATTCAAAACGAAATAAGATATTAATGGTGACATAGTGAAACATAAAGCAAGGCTGATTGCGAAAGGGTTTAAGCAAAGTAGAGGCATTGATTACGATGAAGTGTTTTCTCCTGTGGTCAGATACAAATCTGTGAGATATCTTATAGCCTTAGCTACCAAGCTTAATCTCAACATAGACCAAATGGATGCCATTTGGTGAGCTGGATGAAGATATTTATATCAATCAATTGAAATGTTTCAGGAATGGAAAGAAAGTTTTACTATTGAGAAAATCAATTTATGAACTGTAGCACTCACCCCGAATATGTGGAATATGACATATGACAAAGCTTCAGAGAAATTAGGATTCACTCAATCGCAGTACGACCCATGCCTTTGACACCTAATTTCAGATGAGAAAATCATGATTTTGGCAGTATATGTTGACGATATATTGATTTTGACAAATCAACGAGAATTGAAAGAAGAAATCATAAAAAAATTAATGGGAAGTTTTCTCATGAGAGATTTAGGTCAAGCCAATCTATTCCTGGGGTTGAGAATAACCAGAAAAGGTAATCGAATCTATATCGATCCGCAACAGTACATCGAGAATATGTAAGGAAAATGTAATATGGTCAATTGTGATCAATGCTCGAATCAGAAACTGAGTGAAGAAATGTGCCCCAAAACGAAGGAAGAAAAGAAGGAAATGATGGAGATACCATACCAAGAGTTGATTGGTAGCTTGTTATTTTATGCGCGAGTATCTAGTACATCAGTTATGCTGTGGATTTTTTCAGCCGATATAATAGTGATCCAGGAGGAAGTTATTGAACAGCAGCAAAATGAATTTTGATGTATTTGAAGGGATCAATCACGTCAACAATATATTACCAGAACTCAAGATCCTGTTCGAAGGTGGAGCGATTTAATGGAGTTCAGGGTAGCAGTCAGCAGTTGCCTCATCCACTTCAGATGCCGAATACGTTGCGCTAAGTTCTGCAATTCAAGACGGACTTTGGATGAGAGGCTTAGCCAACGAACTATTCACCAATCTCGGCAGAACTATTATGTTGTGTGATAATCAGAGTGCTATTTGTTTAGCAAAATCGAAACTGCATAGTTTTGAAACAAAACACATTGATAAACTTCATCATTTTGTGAGAGAAATTGTTACAAGTGGAAACATTGATCTGCGTTACATTGGAACTGCTGAAATGGTCGCAGATATTTTCACAAAGGCATTGCCGAAGAAGAAGAATGTTTATTGTTCCATTATAATGGGACTGCAAGATATTTCTCAAACCGTTGAGTTTTAGGAGGAGTGTTGTTAGTTGAATGATATCCAACTTTATGTGAACATTGACTGTTCAGTATCAATAGTTACAATATAATAGTTTTATATTGTCATCTGTCGAGTTGAGGCTTCGCGCCCCTTCGTGGTCACTTCGGAGACCTGCAGAACATCTCTTTCCAAAGACTCGTTCATCCAACAAACAGTGAGGCTCTGGAACACATTGCCAAGGGAGGTGTTCCCCGAGGCATATAACCTCTAGAAATTCAAGGAAACACCAATTCCTACCTTATTTCTCTCGGTTCTCACGATGTTCTCTGAACATTACAGGATATTCCTTCTCGTGGGAACCAGAACACGAAAAACAACTTTTTTTAATGAATTTAAAAAATCAATTCCATTTTCGAGTGTTCTTTCATCTGTATTCAATGTTGTGTCATCTTATTCACGAAATTTT